GTAAGGTTTGAACCTCTTTAAACCAGATTTTACAATCAAATTAATGATATGACAAGCACAACGTTGATGCACAAGACTATACTTACGCTTCGAAGGATCTGAAGGCTCAGGTGAAGGATTAGGACCCAAATAACCAGCAAACATAGATGTCAAAGTATTCATAGCCTTAGCATTAGAAGAAGCATTATCTAAAGTTACAGAGAAAACCTTGTCAATCAGACCATACTCCTCAATCACACAAGCAATTCTTTTAGCAATATTTTCACCAGAATGTTTCACCTCAATCAACCTAAGACTAATAACCTTTTTCTGTAACTCCCAATCAGCACTCACATAATGAGCAACAACACTAATGTAGTCCTCCTTAACATTACCATACCAAATGTCTGAAGTCAAAGCAACAGAGAAAGCAGCAGACAACACATAATTCTTAAGCATATTACGATGTTCGGTAAACAGCTTACTAAGATCTCTAGTGATGGTCTGTCTGGATACCTTAACAAACCTAGGGTTATGAGCACAAACAATGTACTCCTCCTAGGCCTCTGTCTCACCAATACCTAACAGTAAATCAAGCCTAGCAATCAAGCAACACAACTCAGATCTAGCAACATCAAGTTTATAGTCCTAGTTATGCACAGAACCATCAGGATTGTAAGCAAGCCTAGACTAAACCCTAGCAACTTGATCAATTTTTTGCCTACAAGATTTCTGGTGCCTCTTCAAGTGGCCAGTGCTAGCAGAAGATCTAGCAGACAACGTATGCTTACATATTTATAGGTAGCTTTAGTGCAAATCTGCCTACCATTCACAGTCTCATAGACCTCATCAAAATTAGCCCACACAGCAAATTTACGCTTACCAATAGAAGAGGTACCAGCAACAGATGGAGATGAGTTATTGGAGGTGACCGGGGTCCCAGTCGCCGTCGCCCATTCATCACCGCCACCGCCGTCGCCATCTAGATCGATCGGAGCAGAGCCGCTACCGACATCGATATCGAACAACGCAACAGCATCCTCATGGGTGTTGTCGTCGATCTCACCCTCGAGGGCCAGGCTTGGTGGCAAGACGACATCGTCTTCAGCCATGGCGCCCTCGTCGTCGTCCTATCCAGCCCCATTCCTCAACGGTGCATGGGGCCACCTTGGTCGCTCTATGCCACAGCTAGAGGACGACACATCAGCTACCGACCTATGCAAAGAGAAGAATAAGGGTTAGGGTTAGGGTTAGAGTTATGGTTAGGGTTAGGGTTCATACCTGCACAACCGGAGCCCAGTGCCAGAGAAAGAGAAGACGAGGGCCACCCAGAGGAAGATGACACACCGATTAGCAACGACAGCGAGCGGTAGAGGAGGGACAGACGGGGACACGAACTCACATAATCACCGAGATCTAGCGGGGAGAGAGGGAGAGGGAGAAGGGAGAGGCAGAGAGGGAGGGGATCAGGGTTAGGGAGGAGAAGAAGGGAGTGTCATCGCTGGCGGTAGGCGGATCAGGGTCGGGGACACTGGAGTCGGGGAGGATGGATGCAAGCAGAGGAGACCGCGATGCGTGAGGCGACAGCAAGACGAGAGAGCGGCGCGGTGGGCGGGGAAATGATTTAGGGTTTTAGGGTGAGGGGAGGGAGCATCGTGGCCTCCCGCTTATATATGAGGGCGGGTAGGCGGGGGCGCAGGGCTGCGGCTACGGGAGCCGTTGGGGCCGGCTGGCCGACTGGGCTGGGGGATAACGGGTTGCTACTGGGCTGGTTCTTGAAGGCTGGGCCGTTCTGAGCTGGCACGCCATGCCTAGGGTAAGGCCCAGGCCCAGCCTACTACACCGGGCCGTGCCATCCTAGGACCGTACGCCATCGGGGCGGGCCATGCTCGTGTCGGGCCAAATTTGCGGGCTTCGGGTCAGGCCGCCATGCCTCGGGCTGCATGGACATCACTAGGTGGACAGCATCACCGAACCCGTCAATGTTAGGCTGTACATCCGTCAGCAATGGACAACTGACAAGGTGGCGGTCGGCTAGGCCTAGCCTGCGGGAGACGGGATCATTAATGGTGGCCCAATTCCAACGGGTATGCCCATGTCAGCATTGATACTATACTTGATAAGAAGTATAACAAGATGCACATTGATTACCCCGCACAAGAAGATAGACAACGCCTTGTTCAGAACAAGGGTGCTCATATGGCCTGGCGCAAGCGCTTCATAAAGCTTGATCACCAGTTGTCTTCGGATGATGATGAGGACAACGGCGAATCTTCGCTGCCCAGATATGATCACTCACCATCTCCCAACAGAGGAGATCACACTACCTTCCCTGGTTCCTTGCTATCACCCCTGAGAAGACATAAGTCTCCTTCTCTTCCTTGTCCTCCATTTTCATCAGCCCCAACAAAAGAGAAGACTCCTCCTTCTCCTCCCTCTTCATCACCGACGAGAAAACATAATTCTCGTCCTCCTCCTCCTCCACAACAGCCCAAAACAAGATCTAAGGCATCCTCGCAGTCACAGAAAAGGTCCTCGGATTCGGTCTCTAATGCTCCCAAAGTGGACCAACAAAAAAGAAAAGGATGATGAGTGGCAGCGTTACAAACTTGATGAACCAACAAAAGCCAGAAGTAGCCTCCAAGGAAGACAAAGTTAGATTCTAGAATCTATTTGCCTCACTGCCTAAGTGGAGGGTGAAGTCCGAATTCAATAGGCAAATAGAGAGTAAGCACAATCAATTAAGAGTAAAAAAAAATACACCATGAAGATCAAAGGAAGATAAACAAGATTGTCGAAGACAACCTTGGATGAAGCAGGGATGATGCCGCGAACATCTATTATGATTCACTAGCATATGAGACGACAAGACCGGTAATGTAGTTTCAAAGAGGCAATTTCTTGGTGGACGAGGAGTATAAAAATTTGACAACATATATGTGTGACTTGTATGATTATTACACGGCCCAAGCACTTGAGACGGGGTAGGTGGGTTTCGAATATATTATCCACCCACCGCATGTTTTCCATTATCCTAACGAAGAGAAGCACTTTGTCGGTTGGGATCGCTTGTTTAAGCTATTCCAGAGACGCGATCTCGATACACAAGTGTTGACACGGTGGACTATGTAAGTACCCTACTAGCACGATATTATAATTAACTACTCTCTCGATACACAAATAGTTAATGACTGCACATTCCCCATGAATTATGCAGGTGTGTAGCAAAACATTGCTTCAAAACAATGTACGCTCATATGTCTTTCCTAGACCCCGAGCCAGTCAACGAGAAAACATGCGGAGGCATGCATGGAAATAAAGTGGAAGATCTGACGGAGACACTGACTACCATTTTTGAAAATTTCAAGTTGAGTAATAAAACCGAAATACTTCTAGCCTACAACTGCGAGTATGTGTTCTCTGCTCTTATTTTTATGCTTGTTTTTTGTAGTTAAGATTATTCGTTAACTAGGGTTTTGTGATTGCAGCAACCATTTCGTCTTTATTGTTGTCGATATTAAAAGAAATCGTATCAAGGTGTGGGACTCGAAGAAAAAGCCACTTTCTTTGCTCGATCCCCTAGTCGAAGTGCTTAATGCGTAAGCGAACCAAATAACATATTATTTTTTAATCACACATCGCATATTCTAATGTTGCCCTTTTTCACACTTTATAAGCTGGCATAGTGTCCAGGCAAGAATGGTTGGTGGGACAAAGGTCCCATTCCAGGTTGCACCAATGTAATTGGAGACCCTAGACCAACCGGCAGGAAACAATGAATATGAGTTCTACGTAATGTGGGCAATGCTTCACTACCTCGGCGTAAAATCGGAGGCGGAAGATGCTTTGGTGTTTATAATCCCTATTTCATTTATATATGTTAATTCAACAAAATGATTTATTTATTTCTCTAACATATCTGCATTTCGAAATTGGTTTTTTTGAATGACAGCTCAAGAAATTTAAACACAATACGTTGTTAGAAATGGAGGTCATAGCACTGTCATCGGAGCTAGCAGCCTTCATCGTATCGGAGTGCTTGGAAAAAAGGAACATTCTCCATTGCATAGTCCATGAAGTACAAGGCGCAGTACGGTCAGAGCGGTTCGCTAGACTATTGTAATTTCTTTTTTATTTCAAGGGATCGAGCGCTTTATAAGTACATTTGAACTATAACCATAACATTTGTAATGTTTTATGTTGATGGACATGTCATCTACGTAGCGAATATAAAGCGAAACCCAATTCCACCAAAAAAATAAAATAAAATAAAATAAATTATAAAACAATAAAATGTGAAAAAGAGATCACTGCTAGTTAGCATAAAACCGGCAGTGATGGTAAAGAGGGCACTGCCAGTTCATGGCACGGGCCGACAGTGTTGGTTGAGCCATCACTATCGGCTCGAAATCCAAACCGGCAGTGTTGCTGAAGACAACACTGTCGGTTTGAGCCATCAGCCGGCAGTGATGGCTTGACCAACACAGACGGCTTGAGCCATGAACCAACAAAGATGGCTTGCTCAACACTGTCGGCTTGAGCCAAGAACCGACACTCTTGAAGCAACCATCACTGTCGGTTGGGTCTACAAATCGGTAGTGCTGTTCAGCTGGACACTACCGGATGGAGCCAGGAACCGACACTATTGCATGTAGATCAGTGTCAGTTCTTAGGAACTGACAGTGATGTCAACCCCCATCATTGTCGGTACGCCACTGTCGGTTCAAAGACAGTGAAGGGGGTTTTTGAACCGACAGTGATGTCCAAATCTGGGGTAGTGTGTTAAAGATCAAAACTAGCTGTTATGGCCATCTATGCATCCAATTTCCACGATACAAAATAAAAACAAAACACACTTACATGCATTTAAAGTTCACAACTTTATTATTTTTCAAACAAACTAGCTGTCACATGCAAAAACTGATGTGTTGACCAACAAAACCTGCTTAGGTTTTCAATCTGCTCTGGAACTTTTTCAGCCATGTTGCCAACTTGTAATTCGGCCCGTCTTCACGTACACTCTATGCAAGGCGCCTATGAAAATATATCATTAGTACGAATCATATATACAGAGAGATGGACACACGCATACGCAGGCGCACAGACATATGGTGTGTTTGATTAGGTGACCAATCCATGTCCTGGTTCTATAGAATCAAGTTTGACCTGTTTGGTTGGCTGTAGGTGGACTAGGGTCTGGCTACATGTGGCCAACCGTACATGCCTAGCCTGGCCCTGGAAATACGCTAGTGGTGACCGTTTTTCTAGAGCCTGGCTTGGCCACAGCAAGTTTACGTTCGCATCACCTCCCTCCGCGTCGTCTTCCATCCGCTCGCCAATCTCCCTACTCGCGCCACTCCTACCTCGCCGGTCACCGGTCCTCCCTGCTCGCCATGCTCGCACCGGCCACAGGTCCTCCCGGCGGTCAGCTCGCTGGAGCACGAGCTCGGGGATGGACGGATGGGGAGGGGCGTGCCCGTCCTTGTGGCGCCTGAAGCAGATTTTTTATTTTCAGCCCTTTTTAAAAAAATATTTACAAATAGACTCCTGGTGGTTTGATTTTCGTCTATGGACCCTGACCTCGGCGTCATGGCTTTTGGCGCCGAGGAAACACGTCTCGGCAAATGGCGCCGAGGTCTTGGCGTGGCGTCGGACGTGGCGGTGACCTAGCGCCGACATGGACAAGGCCTTGGCGCCATAGATCTTGGCGCCGAGCTGTTACCCTATAGATCTTGACGTTTGAAATGAAACAAATATAATTGTTCCGAGGAACATGCAAGAACGTCATTGCGGTTCAACTAGTTAGGACACGCATGACTTAGTTCAAAGGTATGGGTTCAAACCCTAGCACTGAATTTTTTTTCTACATTTTACGCCCACCTCGGGAACCACTTCTTCTCGCCGTGCCCGGGGTCGTAGTTTCGGCGCCACCCCAGGATCTCGAACAGCACCATCCTGAAGCTGTACACGTCGCACTTCTCGGACGCCGGCAGCGCCATCCACAGCTCGGGGGCCGCGTACCCGGGCATCCCGCGGCCGCCGCCGGTCAGCGACATATGCGTGTTCTCGCGCTCGCCCAGCCGTGCGAGCCCGAAGTCGGCCACCTTCGGGGTGTAGTCGGCCGTGAGAAGAATGTTCGCCGGCTTGATGTCGTAGTGCACGATCCGCTGCTGGCACTCCTCGTGCAGATATACTGATCCCCTTCGCCGTGCCAACGGCGATGCTGTGCAGCGTCCCCCATTCCAGCCTTGTGCTTGTGCTGCCCTCGTCGCCGTAAAGGTACTTCTCGAGTGAGCCATTCTCCAAGAACTCGTACACCAGCGCCTTCGTGTTCGCGTCGAAGCAGAAACCATAGAGCCGCACGAGGTGCACGTGGTAGGTACGTCCGATGGTGCCGATCTCCGCCATGAATGCCTCCTGCACTTTCTTGTTCCTAGACACCTTCAGGACCTTCGCGCCCACCAGCAGGCCGTTCGGCAGCTCACCCTTGTAGACCACGCCGTAGCCTCCGGACCCCAGTTCGCACGAGTAGTTATTGGTGTAGACCGCCAGCTGCTCGGATATATAAACTCCGGACCCAGTTTGCATGTTTCTCGAAATAATTTTTCTTGTTTTATTGCTTATAAAAATATAGCTTTTATTGCTTATAAAAATATAGCAAAAAAGATTCAGCGCTGGGTTCGAACTTAGGCCTTTGAGTTAAGTTACGCGTGTCCTAACCAGCTGAACCACAACGGCGTTGTTGCATATTCCTCGGAACAATTATATTTGTTTCATTTCAAACGCCAAGATCTATAGGGTAACAGCTCAACACCAAGATCTACGGCGCCGAGGCCTTGTCCACGTCGGCGCCAGGTCACCGCCACGTCCGACGCCTCGCCAAGACCTCGGCGCCATTGGCCATGGCGCCGAGACGTGTTTCCTCGGCGCCAAAAACCATGGCGACGAGGTCAGAGTCCATAAACGAAAATCAAACCACCATAGATCTATTTATAAATATTTTTCAAAAAAAGATTGAAAAATAAAAAATGTGGCGCTGAAGTCGTGCACGGTGAGGTGGAGCTCGGCGGCGGCGAGGAGGAAGTGCACGACCTGCGGGGGCCGGAGGAGCGCAACCACCTCGCGCATCGTCTCGAGCCGCAGCGTGTCCGTCATCTCCAGCACCAGCTTCATCCCCTCTGCCTTCGTCTGCATCTCCCGGTCCATCGCCCTCGAGTCCAGTCCGTCGCCGCTTGCGCGCTCCACCATCGTCGCCGTCGTCAGCGCCTCCTGCACACGCGGTCCTCGTTGACCTCACTGGATATTTAATTTCGCGAAGGGGAAAAAAGCGCCACTGATTTTTTTTTTCCTTTCTTACTCACCTGTGCGCTCGCGGCGGCGTCCTCGATCTCGCACTCCCTCGTGATGGTGTGGCGCTGCGGCTGGAGGCCGCGGGTCACCCGGGAGGAAGCGGCCGTCGCGGATGACCCGGCTCGCGCATGGATCACCCACGGCTGCAGAGCACCCTGGTCCGACCGGCGGTGGCAGCGTCCCTGAGGCCCGCGAGGATGCTGAGCAGGACGATGTTGGGGAGCGCCCTCAGGCGAGGTAGCCGCTGCCGCTCAGGCCTGGCTCCGTCATCTTCATCGGATGAAAGCAAGGCGAATGGTTGGCGCGAGTGTAAGGTAATACTGAGGCTGACGAGCACACAGACTAGGTGTTCGACGAAATATCTTAGAGGAGTAACTTTACCAGAATAGAGAAGATGTAATCGTATGCAATGTAAACTAGACAACTTAACACACCCTACACTGGTCGGGCTTAGACAATACATGTAACCAAACAACTAAAAATTAGCTTGCTAGAGCCAGGCTTGGGCTATCTAGGCTTAGATCCTAGTTAGGATAGAAGTAAGCCAGATAATCAAACAAACCCATACACACGTACGTATGCCTGTGTTTACATGAAAATTTCTTAGTGCTTCATTAGTCCTTTTGCAATTCAAAATTACTTATACAAATATATTTCTTTCCTAACCTACGCTGCAGAAAAACCTAGGCAGGACACCTATCGATAATGGCTGGAAAGCGCCCAAGGCCATAAATGGAAATAAATTGGGTGGGCGACGGGCGCACCGACGCCTGCGTGCGCTCCCCTCCCCAGTGTATGCCACGTGGAGCCTGGCATCGCACGACAGCTATGAAACATCAGTTTGCAGAAGTTACACCAAATCGGCAAACCGGCACGAGGACCACGGCTCCAACTCCAGATGCGGCGCACGTGATGGCATCAGGCTCCACGTGGTGTCACTACTAGATAACAGACTTTAGAACGATGTCCCAATTTAGCATTAGCCTCGGCATTTTTTGTCGCCGGGACTAAAGGTCCCTGTCCAACGGTCGTCCGCGTGGCAGGGATCTTTAGTCCCGGCTGGTATTACTAACCGGGACTAAAGGTAAACCTTTAGTCCCGGTTAGTAATACCAGCCGGGACTAAAGGTTTTAGTCCCGGTTTGGGTGATACCCCGGAAATAAATATTAATCTTTAGTCCTGGTTTGGCTACCTAACCGGGACTAATTATGCTGGCCTATACACCGGCTCATTTCTTCCTTCCCGAGCCCGAGCCATTCCATTCAAACTCACTGTCTCTGTTCTTCAGCTTGCTGTTGTTCTTGCTCTCTCCCTCTCCATTGGTGTTGCTCTTCGATTTTGGAGGTAACAAACTTAATCCTCTTATGTTTTATCAGTAGCTTATCTCATTTTGCGATGTAGATGCATGTGTAATAACTTTATACGTTGGACTTTATTATGATTTTATATGTCATTTTTAGCTCTAAATCACATGATGATTTGCATATATGTTTGGATAAACAAAAAGTTAAATTAGTTCATCAAAATCACGCCTCGCTCGTCCTCGCTGGAGCACACGCCATCCTCGTCCCCGGCGGCTTACGTGATCTTAGAATTAATTTTTCCATGAAATGAAAAACTTAGCAAATAGTTAGAAAATTGTAGAAAATCCGTACTAGTTGAACTTGCGGACCGTGATCATCTCGGCGAGCATTTTCTCTACCGAGCGGTAACGGACGTCAAGGAGGAGCTTTGATTCTACGAGGGAGAGCGGCAACGATCGTGGAAGAACGTGTTCCCTTCCTCGTAGAATCGGAGCTCTTCTTTGGCCAAGTACGGTGCCTTCCGGTGGAGAAATGCTCGCCGAGATGATCACGTAAGCAAGGTCAACTAGTACGGATGGTTATTTATTGAAACATGTTTTTGAGCTATGTGATTTCTATGTCATTTTTAGCTCAAAATCACATGATGATTTACAATAGTAAAATCACTTGATAGTTTGGTATTTTACTATTATACATAGTACATATTTCATGGTTTAGTTAGATAAATAAATAATTTTAGTTTTGTTTAAATATATTATTTTAGAAAATTTGAAATTTACAGTAGTTTGCAAAAATAAGTATAGAAAGTAGATGACAACTGGTTCCGGATCCTCGGCCTCTCGTTCGGTTGCGAAACTACTGAGGCCAGAACTCCCTCTCAGTATCTGCGGCAAGTGTAAGCAGAAGATTATGATGGAGTACCGAGTCAAGAGACAGGGACCCAACAAGGGTCGTGTTTTCTACAAGTGCCTAGATCGCGATGTGAGTTTCTTACGCATTTAATTATTATGGCTAATTGACCTGCATTTCTTGAATATTTTTGACTAAATATTTTTTGGCTTTAATTTCAGTGGGAGGGCAATGGATGCAATGGTTGGTACTAGGAGGAAGATTATGCTATATATGTAATGTAAGAATTAATTGCTGCCGATGAGGCGATGAGCAGTGAGGGAAAGCTTATTGATATTCAACAAAAGAATGATTTATCTGTTTTTTAGTTGCGTACGATCACGAAATAATTATGTTCTTGAAGTGCATTGTAGTTTTAGTTTGTTTAGTGATAGTTGGGATTGCTTACGTTGTAGTAGAGCTTAGTTAATTAATCAACCGTGTGTGTGTCATTTATGTTGTGTAATAAAATACTTAATTATGTTCAAGGTTTTCATAATTTGTCATGTAATACTGATTATGTCACGCCATTGGATGTACAATGCCGATCGCCCGCTCCCAAGACTTTATTGAGGGCTTGCACTATTTCTTAGGTGTGGTCGAGGCAAATAAGCGGGATGGTTTCATGTCTTTGCCCATGTGCCCTATGTAAGAATTTAAAGGAATATTCAAGCTCAATGAGTCTTCATTCAAATTTGCTTAAGTCGGGTTTCATGTCAAACTATATATGTTGGACTAAGCATGGAGAAAGCGGGGTCATGATGGAAGAAGGTGAAGGAGAAGATTTAGACATTGATGACATTATTGCTCAAGATGGTGCCTTTGATGATACTACAATGGGGAGAGATGAAAAAGAGATAGCGGTAGAAGATGATCTCGGTGATGCTCTTGGCGATGCTATTCGTGATGCACAACAAGAATGGGAAAGTGAAAAAGAGAAAGTTAAGTTCGAGCGCATGCTTGAGGATCATAGGAAGTTGCTATACCCGACTACGAAGAGGGCAAAAAAAGCTGGGTACAACTTTGGAATTGCTACACGGTGGAAGGCAAAGAATGGTGTATCCGACAAGGTATTTGAGAATTTATTGAACCTCATAAAGAAGATGCTTCCGAAGCCAAATGAATTTCCCACCACTACGCATTGAAGCAAAAAAAGGTTATGCGCCCTTTGGGATTAAAAATCCGGAAGATACATGCATGTCCTAATGATCGCATCCTCTACCATGGCAATGAATACGAGAATTTGGATGAATGCCGGTATGTAAAGCATCGTGGTATAAGATCGGCGCGATGATCCCGGTGACGTCAAGGGTGAACAACGTCCTAGAAAGAAAATCCCTACCAAGGTTATGTGGTATGCTCCTATAATACCACGCTTAAAACGTTTGTTCAGAAATAAAGACCATGCAAAGTTGTTGCGGTGGTATAAAGAAGACCGTAAGGTAGACAATATGCTGAGACACCCAGCTGATGGGTCCCAGTGGAGAGAGATAGACAGGGAATTTCTAGAGTTTGCAAATGAGGCTAGAAACTTAAGGTTCGCCTTAAGTACAGATGGTATGAATCCTTTTGGAGAGCAGAGCACTAGTCATAGCACTTGGCCAGTTACTCTATGTATCTACAACCTTCCTCCATGGTTATGCATGAAGCGGAAGTTTATTATGATGCCGATCCTCATCCAAGGTCCGAGGCAACCTGGCAACGATATTAATGTCTATCTGAAGCCATTAGTTGAAGAACTTCTAGTTTTATGGAACAAACCAGGTGTACGTGTCTGGGATGAGTACAAACAAGAACACTTTGACCTACGAGCAATGTTGTTCGTAACAATCAATGATTGGCCTGCTTTAAGTAATCTTTCAGGTCAGACAAACAAAGGATATAATGCATGCACACATTGTTTTGATGACCTTGACAGTATATATTTGAAAAGATGTCGAAAGGTCATGTACCTTGGCCATCGTCGATTCCTTCCTTTGAATCACCAAGTAAGAAAGAAAGGGAAGCATTTTAAAGGTAAGCCAGACCACCGGAAGAAGCCTCATAACCGAACCGGGGAAGATATACTCGCAATGGTCAAGGATGTGAAAGTAGTATTTGGAAAGGGACAAGGCAGTGAATCTGTTCCCAAAGATGCTAAGGGACACGCACCCATGTGGAAGAAGTCCATCTTTTGGGAGCTACCCTATTGGCAAGTGCTAGAGGTCCACAATGCAATCGACGTGATGCACCTGACAAAGAATCTTTGTGTGAACCTATTAGGATTCATGGGTGTGTACGGGAAGCCCAAGGATTCACTTAAAGAACGCCAGGACTTGCAGGGCATGAAAGAACGAGACAACCTTCATCTAGAGAAGACAGATGATGGACGTCATTACTTAAGTCCTGCTAGCTACACGCTTAGCAAAGAAGAGAGGGATAGCATGTTCGAATGTCTAAGCAGCATCAAGGTCCCATCGGGATTCTCCTCCAATATAAAGGGTATAATAAATGTGCCAGATAAGAAATTCCTAAACTTAAAGTCCCACGACTGCCACGTGCTTATGACACAATTGCTTCCAATTGCTTTAAGAGGAATTCTACCTCCACATGTACGTCTAGCCACCGTGAAGCTATGTGCATTCCTCAATTCAATTTCTCATAAGGCTATCAATCCAGTGGAACTAGCTACTCTACAAAATGATGTGGTTCAATGTCTTGTCAGCT